TGGGTTCTGGAGGAAGATGGGGAGGGGCTGTGGAGGGGAGAGGACTGACCATGGAATGGAGGCTGTAACAGCCATCGGGACAAGAGAGGAGGGAGGCGGCCCGGTCAGGGCCCAGGGCTGTGGAACCGGGAAGACACAGATCCATTCACGCTGCACCTGGGGGAGGAATCTAGAGGATTACTGATTGATCGGACACAGAGTGCAGGAGAGGAGAGACTCTCTGGCCACCTCCAGATGCCCCTCCGCATGGCTCTGTGGGAAACGGGAAAAGAACCCTCCCTCTGGGTGGGCACAGCACCATCAACGCTCTCTGAGCACCCGGAGAGGGCACGACCTACGGGACCCTCACTCAGAGGAGCAGAGGGCCCCCGGTCCTCTGGGTGAGCAGCTGTGCACTTGCAAAGCCCCCGATGCCTATGGGAATCCTCAGAGGGCCCGTCTGCTCTGCCCAACCAAGGTTTGGGCACCTTTCCACAGGGACACTCCCCCTGACCCTCCGTCTGAGCCGGTGGTTTCTCCCCTTCCCGCCCTTTTGACAGCTCATGGCATTGTTTGCACTAACCTTGAGAAGAAACACAAATTTTAAAGCCCTGGAAGCTAATGGTTCCACAAAAACATTTGGCACTTCAATAAACGCAGGTTCTAGAACATCCGCAGCCCAAGTGAAAGTAAACAGTGACAGCGTGCGAGCCTCGGGGTTTGCAAAGCCTGTAAACAAAGCGTGCTCCCAAAGCCAGAGCCGGAACCTTGGCGGTGGGTCCCAGTCCGTCAGCTCCGGGCTCTACGGCCCCAGCTCACAAAAGCAGCACGGGGAGCTAGTTAACTAAATTCTCCATTCTCCAGAGCTCACCGAGACGGGAATAAAAAGCTGTCTCCACAAGAACAGAGCCACTCGTCCTTGTGTTTGGTTTTGTTTTGTTTTGTTTTGTTCTTAAAGAGATCACTCCAGGCCTGGGAACCAGAGGGACGCAGGTTTGATTCCCAGTGAGGGCACAGGCCAAGTCCCGAGTGGGGGCCATGTGAGAGGCAACCACACACTGATGTTTCTCTCCCTCTCTTTCTCCCTTCCTTCCCCTCTCTCTAAAAATAAATAAATAAATAAATACATAATCTAAAAAAGAGAGAGAGAGATCACTTCACTACCATCGTCAGTATGAAGCTTACCATCCTGATACGTAAGGGAGAGACAAAAACGTCTGAGCTTGTGAACTGAGGAGATGATCAGAACCAGCGGGCCCTGTCCCAGCGGTCCCCTGCCCAGGGGCCAGTCACTTTCTTGTAGCAGTTTTGGTAAAGGCTCCATCTCATCTCCTGACCAGCTGCTCCCTGGAGGCAGGCTCTCCACCTCCCTCCTCCGCCCCCTGCGGTCCTCTCTCTAGTATTTGGCCTGGGCTGTAGTAGGTGCTCATTAAGTATCTGTTCTGAGAGTCAATGAGCATCGTTGCCCAAAGACTCCTTCCACCCCAGCCCCGTGCTTCCCTGGGGCCTAGACCAGGGCTAGACAGAAAAGGGAGCCGGGTCAGGGGTAGGAAGGGTTTGGTTCTGCCTCAGATGCTACCTCTTACCAGCACGTGTCTGTGTGAGCCACAGCCTTAATGGGTTTTGTCTTCCGGGCTCTCAAATGGGGGAAGTAGCTGTTCTCTCACTTTTGGAGGGGTTGTGTATGAGGCAATGAAAAAGAAGCACTTGGAAAGGTGTTCTGCATGTGTGAGGTGACCCCACGCGCCTGCTGCAATGAAGAAGCTGCAAGGATACAGGGCCATGAGGGGGACCTGGACCACAACTCACTCTTAGAAAGCCAGGCAGGTCAGAAGAGTCGATTTGCAGGTATAATTAATGACTACAAAGGCGCAGAAGAACACATCACCCAGCCATGCTCTCTGTATCCGGGAACAGGAGGTCAGGGCACGAACTACAGAGCTAGCAGATAACGTGAATATGCCAGTTCCCTGCTATAAGGCAAGAGGGCATGCTGAGGCCTGCAGCTAACTGGAGAGTACACTCACCCTCTGCCCAAGGCACTTGCACTAAAAGATTTCAAACACATGCCCCATGGAACACATCTGGGGCCTCACCTGCAGGTGGAGAGATTGAGGCCCTGCAGACCGTTGCATTGAGAGTGACTTTTTCCTGATGCTTTGACAGCTGGGGGGCCTTGTTGTCCTCCCCCCCAGGGCCAGCCAGTTCCTAGTGACAGCACACAGCCCAGCTCGAGCACACCGCCCATTACACAATCTAACCTGTGGGGCTCCTGCCCCAGCCACCGTGTTCCCCGGGCCTTCACGCTCCACGCTACCTGCCCTCATCATGCACAGCTAAGTATACCCAGGGCCAGGTACCAGACAGCTAGGGACAGCCCCTATGCCCCAGAGCTCGTGGAAATTATTCGAACCAGCCAATCGGAAGCCTGCTCACCTCCCCGTGGAAACACAACAAAGCCTCCTGCCCACATTTCCCCCTCACTCCCTCTGCCTCCTCATCGGCCTGGGGCTTCCCCAGGTGGCCTGGAGTGGCGTGGCCCACCCCCTCCTCTTAGGAACTGCAACACACCCTCTTTCCAAGGCCCCTCACTCAACCTGAATAAGAATATAACCTGCATTTTCAAACACCTGTACACCCGCTGGAGCAAAGATTCCATGGCTGCTCTAAGGCCATTGAATCTTTATGCCATCGGCACCCAACATCATCCCTAGCACCTGGCAGATGCAATTTAAATACCAGCCAATGGATGGATGGACGGACAGACAGACGGGGTGAGTGTGCAAAGTTGGCGGCATGGATGCCCTATGCCTCAGGCTCTCACTGGCGGGGGCCTCAGGGAGCTGAACTGTGTGTGCACCTGCTGCAGTCCTGATTGGCCGCCAGGCAGGAGGGAGCCGGGGGACGTGGCCGAGCTCGTGCCAGTGGGAGTCAGCTGTGGTTAAACACACACGGCTCACCCTCCTGCTGACACCCAGCTTCTCGGGCAGCACCTCAGCCAGAGGCTTGGCTTTTGGTAGACGATCTTCCGGCTAACTCCGGCTGTTTCCTTCACCTGAGTGCTGATAAAGAGACCGCCACCTCAAAGGCTCTCTTTGAGGTTAAAGGGTGAAAGCCAGAAAAAGGGCCTCAGCCCACCTGTTGGCACAGGCTCTTCTAAGGCAGCACCAGGCAGGCAGCTCTGCTCCGTGGGCCCCCAAATGCCCCAGGTCTGCCCCAGCCCAGCGGGGCGGTCTGCCTCCCTCCCTGCACATTTCTGGCTGGTAAACTCAAAGTTGCGCTAGACAGCCCTTACCCATTGAAACTCACCCATCGGCTCTGCTCGAAGGACTGAATTTCTCAAATGAAGGGCGGCGTTCTCAGCATCACTGTCTTGTCCCAGGCAGAGAGGAGGCCTAGGACATCCTGGGTAAGAAGGAGAAGCCCCCTGCTGAGGGATCCTGCACCTGCAGCTTCTGTCCGATGGACGCTCAGTTGGGTGACCCAGTCCTCAGCAGTGAATGTCTCCCCAAGGCCATCCCTCCCCCAGTGTGGAGAACCCAAGCGACTGCCAGAGAGGTCACTCTAGGGGAGGGTCGTCAGTGGGGCGACCATGCAGACTGGTTCCCCCAGAACAGACCCAGCTTATGCCACTGTCCCAGTGTAATTATTAAACTCACCCCACTCCTCTCTCAAAAGGGCGCTGGCTTGACTGGTAAATCATACAGTCACCCTCGACATCAGGCAATTTATAAATAAATGGAAAAGTTGCAAGACTCACAAGTAACAGAGTCTGGTTGCTTTGTTTTCTCACAGGAGTTTAAGGTTTGGCGAACATGCTGGAGGTCTGGCTGAAGCGGCCGGCAGGAAGAATTAGCAGAAGGGAACTCACTGTGCCTGACCTTGGGCTCTGGTGGACTCAGCTAGCCAGAGGGGGATGGGGTGCCCCGGGCCGGCTGGGTCAGTCTGGGCCAAGCAGAACTCCACTCACAGCCTTTCTACCCAAGAAGAGACTTTAAAAGAGTATTTCTTTCTCCTTGTTGAAGTCTCAGGCCCAGAGTCCAGCAAAGGGTGGGGCAGAGGAGAAAGGATGAGATGTGTCTCCAGATGCATTTATGGGAGACAGGGACGGGACATGCGTTTTGTGCCGCAACCCCAGTCATCACCACCGTGCCATGGGGGCCCTGAGCAACTAACTCCCCATTTGTCTTCCTTTCTTCCTGGCTGAGATCTTATTTCTGTCAGGGTGAACTACTTGTCTGGATTGCATGAAATGTGGGCAAAACCTGGACAAACCCACACAAAAGAAATAAGAAGCCTGTGATGCTCACACTCAGCCCCTCAAAGCAGAGGCTGTCAGGGGTAAGTGTTCTCTTCCCAGCACTGAACTTGCCCGTGAGAAGTGGCCGGAGTTGGTGAGATCCACTCCGTGGTGAGCTGATTCACCAAGTGAATCTAGGGGCACGCAGGCCCCGCCCCTCCCCCCAGAGGCACAGCACAGACTTGAAAGGGAAGAGGTGGCTGTAAGTTTCAAAGTTTCACCCGATGGCCCTACAAGAAGTTTAATCAAGCTATAAAATGCTCAGTGTCCAGTGTGTAAGGACTCGTTTCGCCTTGTACATGTATGTCTGTGAACTTAAACTTCAAAGCTATTTAGGTTTGTTGGTTTTTTTTTATGTAAGATAAGCCATCATGCAAAATGGACTGGTCAAGCAGTTAACGAAATACACATAATCCCACGGGTGGGCTTTGCACATTTTGGTCCTTGCAGGTAACAAAGCAACTAGAAAACCCGCACGATCCTGAGAGTGAGTCCCTTCGCGTCCTGACAGCTGCCAGTCCTGACAGTTCTTTGGGGGCTCAGGTGTTATAAATCCTGGACGCTCTTTTAGCGGCAGTTTGGGCGTCAGGAGGATCTTCTTCCTCCTCCTCGGTGCGCTTGTGCTTTAAAAACAGGTCAGACTTCAGGAAGCGGCTGTAGCTGTCGTACTTCATGAGGTTGAAGATCTAAGGGGAAGAGGAAAGAGAAGGCTGAAGGATGAAGCTAGCCAGGCCAGTGAGTCACTCTATCAAATATTTACTCAACACCTCTCACGTGCCAAAGAATGCAAATACAAGCAAGACACTCAGAGACAGCTAAAGTCAGTCATGTGCTAGACCAGGCGGATTTCCTGGCTGTTTCTGGTCATCATGAAATAATCTGTGTGGAATAGAACAGTCTGGGGAGGCGCATGAACAAATCTCTCTTTATTTTCCATGGGAAGTACGGATTCACACGGTACTGATTCACAGGCTTGTATCAAGAGGTCCTTGGCGCATCTCCACTGTGTTTGGAGAGATGACCAGGGGCTGGGTTTCTCCAGGAACCTGAGAGCCGGACAGAAACTGTTCCCGTAGAGACCGTGGTGGTGGGCAGGCCACTGTCATATCGGAGGATGCCAGCTTTGTCAGACCCCCAGAAGCCTGGCGTCTGAGAGCACAAACCAACCTGTTATCGTGCTGAGAAACAAAATGGGATTTACTCGATGCAGGGCAAGGGAGTAAAGCCCGTCTAAGCAAGGAGAGGCTTTGGGAATAGGCCCTGATGGAAGGAACAGCCCCCACAGAGCCCGGGAGCCGGTGTCCGGGAAGGAAGTGATTCCAGGGCGCGCCTGTCAGGGGCAAGACAACCCCTGACGGGGCCCAGGCCTAAGTCCCCGGGGTCAGAGGACGGCCACGTGCCACACTGCAGGTCCTAAAAGAGTCGTCCCCATTCTTCTTAGCTACGTCCCTATTCCCAGTATCCCCTCTCGCCACCCCCACCCCCCTCCCTTGCCCTTAAAAGGGGGAAGGAGAAGAGAAGCAGAAAGGAAAGCGTTTTCCACTGTTGAGTACAATCTCTTTTGAGAAATCTCTTCATCTCTCTCTTTTCTCTCTCTCTCTCTCTCTCTCTCTCTCTCTCTCAGATCTTGTGACTGAACTTTCAGGACGGTCTGCAAACCAAAAGTCCACACATTGCACCCTGGTGCCTTCACTTATTGTGTGGCCGTGAGTTCAAGTGGAAAGTTCCAGAAGCGTCTAGAAGGGCGCTCCCTGCCAGGTGGAGTTATCAGGCGGGTGGGAAAACCCTGGCATCTTTGAAGTCTGCCCTTTCCCTACAGGCACACAAACTAGGGTGTGAACTAAAGGTCTGATGGGGTCTGAGGACTCAAGAGCATCTGCCTGGGGCGGGGGAGAGGCGTAGGGAGAGCGGAACCTCCAGCCTTTACGTCTCCTTTTTCCCAAGGTGGCTTCAACCACAGAGGATCCATCTCAATCATTTCCACATCACCAAAGTCAACAATCCAGGGAAAGATTTAGGACTTCGGGTTTTCTTTCAACTCTTAAACTACCACCTGCTCTTCCCCAAATCTTTCCAGCCAGTCCATCCAAGACCTCACCCCCCCAACCTTCCCCCACCCCCTGCAGTTACCTATTGTGTAGCAATATTGTAATCCTAGACGGAATTGCAGAGGTTTAGAGAAATTATTCATTAAAAAAAAAACCACCTTTCAGAAAATACAAAAATCATAGCCAGGGTATGAGGAATGACATTATCACGTCATGACCTCCCACGGACATGCCAAGCAAATGTCACCCTCGACACCTGCAAGGTTCAGCCCCTCGGGGCACCGCAGGCCCCCAAGGGCACTGTGAGACGCCCACCTAGTTCCGAGTCTGAACCTCTGAACCAGATGCTCAGAGAGTGACTGAGAAGCCAGCTCTCTGATGCCCCTCCGGGCGCCAGCCCCGTGCCCCCTCCCACCCCAGGGACCCTCCACTGCCAGCAGGATGCGGTTCGACCCAGGCGTCTCTCTGAAGTCTGCGCGTGGGAGTGGAACATCCTGTTTGCCTATAGTGGCTCTGAGACTCACACTTCAAAGAGGAGACGAAAAAAGGCAGGGGCTGGAGGCACCCAGGGCTGGAGGAGGCAGGGGAGGGAGAGTCGGAGGCGGCTTCAGTAGAGCGGCGGGCTCAGGAGCTGCTCAGGGGCTGCCGGGGCTCTTCCAGCCTCCAGCAGATCCCAAGAGACTGCAGGCTCTCTCCTGGTGCCGGAGGAGAGGGCGCTGGGAATGATTGAACAAGAAGAGCATGAGGGCCACACCCTGCCCTGGATGGGTGTGAAATGCCCTCGGAGCCCTTCAACCTGGAGCTACCAGTCTTCAGGACGCATTGCCCACCTCCCAGTGCCAGTCCCGGCACTGCAGGGTCACTGGGGGCGCATCTACAGCTACGATGCTCCCACAGTTTTCATAAAGAAAAGAGATGTCATCCCCAATGGTCTCAATTGTCCAGGCCCGTAAGCTGCCCCGTATCTCTGCAAAGGGCCTTCAGGGCACTGGTCCAGGAGCACAGGGCAACAGGGTGCTCCCAGCTCATGACCCCTCTCAGGTGGTGCTTAGCAAAGGTGGCAATAGGGGGTGTCCAACCTGCAGCCCATGGGCCGCATGCAGCCCAGGATGGCTGTGGATGCGACGCAACACAAAATCATGAATTTACTTAAAACACCGTGAGATTTTTTTGGTGTGATTACATGTCTCAGTGTATTTGATATGTGGCCCAAGACAACTCTTCTTCTCCCAGTGTGGCCCAGAGGTGCCAAAAGGTTGGGACACCCCAGTTAGAGGATAGAAAACACTCCCAAAAAATCTCTCTAAGGATGTGGCTGAAGACTGCACCCAGCTGGGGACCACAGCCTTCTCGATCACGGGGCCAGTGGCCATCTCTGCAATAAATGCCCACCGCACGAGTGAATAAAAACCATGCAACATGCAGCAACAGAGGGCTGGCGAGATGAACCGGGTGGCACCAGAATGCCGGGAGTGCCCCCTAACCATGCACCAGCAGGCACTGAGTCCCCCCCAAACCCCATGAGAGCCCTGGTCACACAGAGGAAGAAACAGGGCCTTAGAGGCTCAGTGCTTTGCCCCACGGGCTGGTGTACCGCTCAGCTCCGGCGCCATAACAGGTACCGCAGAAACCTGATTCCTCACAGTTCTGGAGGCCAGAAGTCCAAGACCAAGGTGTCGGCAGGGTGGGTTTCTTGTGTGCCCTCTCTCCTTAGTTTGCAGACGGCCCTTTCCCCCAGCGGTATCTTCCCACAGTCCCCCCTCTGTGTGTGTCCACGTCCGAATCTCCTCTTCTTGGAAGGACACCGGTCGTACTGATTAGGGCCCACCCCCAATGACCTCATGTAACCTTAAATACCTCTTTGGAGACTTTCCAATCACAGTTGAATTCTGAGGCACCTGGGCTTAGGGCTCCATCACATGACTCGGGGTGGGGGCACACTCTGGCCGTGACGGTGAGCAAGAGAGGCCAGTGGGAGACGAGCGTGGGCGGTCACGCTCCGGAGGCCACAGCCCTAACCAGCAGGCTGCACTGTCACTCACGTGGCAGACCCACGGACAGTCTATAAAAATGAACCCTGTGAAGAGAGTTCAGCACGGAAAAATGTGCATGAATGTAAAGTGACTAAGCAGGAACATTTTTAAAGGCACTAAAAATAAAACAATTTGATCCCAAGTATGCTCTTCAGGAGTTCTGGGAGCGCTTTGTAAAGCTTGTGATCGGCTAACCCCTGTGTTGTATACCTGAAACTAATGCAAAAACAATACTGAATGAAACCATGAGGGAAAAATAAAATAAAATTTAAAAAAGGAGTGTGTTCGTGTGTATGAATGGGGAGTAACTGCCTCCAAAGGTCTCGGTGGAGGGAATTGAACAGTGCCCCCATTTCATTTCCATCAGGAACCTCAGAATACCTACGACCTTACTTGGACACGGGTTGGTGGGGGGCATCGAGATGACATCATCATGGACTTAGGGTGGTGCCCTGATAGGAGGAGGGGACGCAGAAGTTCACAGAGGTAAGAAGGCCTTGTGACGACAGAGGCAGAGGACCGCGGGTGACGCAGGTTCTTGGTCCAAGGAACACCAAGGACCGCCAGCGACCCCCAGAAACTAGGCAGAGGCGAGAAAGGGTGTTTCCCCGGAGCCTTCGGAAGGAGCACAGTCCCCTGACACCTTCACTTCGGGCTCCTGGCCTCCTGAACTTCGAGGGGATGAAGTTCTGTCATTTTAAGCAACTCAGTTTGTGACAAATTGGTGGTAATGACAGCCCTTGGAAACTGAACCAAACTCTTGATTTCACCTCACTCTTAATTAAGTAAGCACAGAAAATGAGATAGCCCTCAGGGTTCCAGAAGGTTCTACAAAACCAGGACTCTTTGATGGCGAGAGCTGGCCTCTCAGGGGCTCGACTGTGACCGCCACCTGACCAACGTGCCTCATGCATCTGCCTGCCTGAAAGAGAAAAACTCGAGCCAAGTCTAGGGTGGCGGCCCAGGCGGGCAGCGGCACCTGAGTGGGCCTTCGAAACGCTCACTCCTTTCCAGAGGCAGCCGCCGAGGCAGAAAACTCAAGTTGGCAGCTAAATTGCATTCTGTACCTTTTCTTTTTTTTTTTTTTTCTGGTCAAGACAGCTGTGGCTCAGCAGGTTCCGGTTTTGGCAGCCCCACATCTGTGAGCTACATGCCCGGACTGTAAACTGTCTAGCGTTGTTGCCTTGGGCTCCAATCCTGCAGGCAGCTGGAGGTGGGAGTCCTTGGGATGCGCCCAAAGACCCGTAGCAAGGGGTCATTCCACGGTCCAGGCGCCCTCCTTCTCGGGGGCCCCAGAGGGTGCTGGGCCCAACTGGGATGTGCCTCTCTGTGGGTGCTCCAACCTGAGAATGCTCCGAATCTGCTGCTCCAGACGAGGTCTCCCTCCCGAACAGACCTCATCCACGGAGAGAACGAGAAGCCTCTCGGGGAACATTTCAACACTGTCTCGATTAAGCACATTTCAAGCCTAATAAATCTTCCAACACTTCTCAGAAGACAAGAACATCGAAAGACCTAAACTAAACACACATCCTTTCTTCTCTTCAAAACGCTCCACCATGTTATTTCAACTGGGTACAAGGAGGGGAAAAATAAATCCTTTCATGCAAGTTTTATTATGGGGATGTCATATTCGCTGCAAGAACTGGGTTTAGTTTTTATGTAAAAATTGCCGAAAGAAGGCGGCAAGAGCTCCGGCCTCTGGATTCTCTCTTCCAACGCCTAGACTACAGATGTGCTTTCATACGCAGACAGACAGACAGAAAGTGCAGAGAGGGCAGGCTCCTTGCGCTCCAGCCCTCCAGCCGTGGAATGACGGCAGAGCCAGCTGGGCGGCAAAGAGGCCCCTGGGTCAGGGCACCCACGGGATGTCCTCACCTTGAAGACCACCTCCCCCTCTTCCAAAGTGGGGATGAGGAGGCCCGAGGGCAGCTGGCAGTGAGCAGTGAGAACACGGAACAGCTCTCAGGTCTGCCCTTGTCCCAAAGCACCAGAGTGGCCGCTGGAAGCTTCGGTCACCCTGGTCAGTGCTCCTGCCCCCTAGACAGGCTTGCCAGAGGTGGCAGACAGGCTGGGTGGGATCAGAAATCCAGAAAGAGGCTGGACAGGGATGGGGACAGAGACCCCTGCTGAGGCAAAACCCCCTCACGGCCATGGGTCCAGTGCTCCGCACCCAGTGGTGGCACTTGGTCCACCTTTTTCTGGAGTTCATAACACTCACATCCAAAGCCCACGTGCATTCTTTCTGCACAGGGAAGAGGTGTTTTGCGTTTGTCCTTTGTCATCAGAGGGAGAGTTGAAGGCCCTTCCGATGCCCGTCCCCTCTCTTCTTCCCCTAAACACCATTTCACAAAAAAAAATCTCCAAGTATCTCAAACACTATCCTTCCCGCCCCACCCCTCATACGGCGAACAGCTGTGGCAGACGAGGGCAGCCAACTTTCCCTCCACTTAAACGAAAGCCCACGACCTGCCCTTTCTGGCTTTGCACGTTGGAAAACGCCGGTTTCTGGCCCAGACTGGATTTTTGGCAGCGAATGTCAGCTGGCACCCACAAGACGGAGGATTCCAGAATCCGCAGCCCTAGCCACCACGGCAGACTTGGAGAAATGGGGGGTTGGAGAGGACCCCCAAACGATCCCCAGAGCCACGGCAGCCCCTCCCCCAGCTCTGGGTCCTCGCCAGCTGGTCCGGCCCTTCCTCCTGAGATCTAAAGAGGAAGCGATTCTCACTTCGTGGGTTCCGGGGAAACTCAGACGCAACGCCACTGAAAAGGGGCCCGATGCACGCTCCTTCCTCTGTCAAGGATGTGGCTGGGGCTGCAGACATCTCTCTGAAGTCTTTCTTCCTTTTTTAAAAAGATTTTATTTGTTTTAGAGAGAGGAGAAGGGAGGGAGGGCGAGAAACTTCAGTGTGAGAGAGAAACATCGATCAGTTGCCTCTCGTGCACACCCCGACCAGGGACCGAACCTACAACCCAGGCCTGTACCCTGCCCAGGAATCGAACCGGAGACCTTTGCTCTGGGGGCCTAGGCCCAGCTGACAGAGCAGGTCAGGGCCGATTTTTTTTTTTTTTTAAGAATCAGAGGTCGAGAGCTTCCTTTTCGGTGGAAAAGGCCACCTCCAATCGGCCTCCCCGAGCAGACTGCGCACCCGCCCCAAAGCCTGGGCGAGAGTATCCTGATGCGCTCAAATTCGCCTTAGGTTAGGCACTGAGGGCCCTACACTGAAGGGGAAAGAATCAACGCCCTGCCCCCCCCAACCTTCAGCCTTCTCTTTCCCGATCCTCAAGTTGCCGTGTGAACTGCCCTTGACCCTCCGCCCCTCCCACCTCCTTCCTGTTCCATTCAAACCAGAGGCATCGGAGCAGGAGACCTGCATGCGCCGGGGCCGAGGGGCTTGTGGCAGCGGAATTTTGTTGTAAATCTTTCATGTGGCACAACACGGGCCACTGAGCAGCCTTCCAACTGTTCCATTTTTAAACATTTGCCAAGTCGCATTCTATCACAGAACCATCACTCCACTCACACCCATTTTCCAAACAACAGAATCGTAAACTGCTCTGGAAATACCATTTTGACAAAAACTCACAGCCACAGGCTGTGTATGGAGGTTTCCAGAGGGAGAAGGGGGGGAGGGGTCACGTACACGGTGACAGGAGACTTGACTTGGGGGGTGGACACACAGTGACACATGCACATGATGTAGAACCACACCCCTGAAACCTACATAATTGTCTTAACCAATGCCACCCCAGTAACTCCATTAAAAATAAAGTAGTTTTGAAAATATATCATTTCGGTGAAATGCTTATTAAAATGTCTCACACATTCCTCACAAGACACGCCGACCACAATTTAAGTTTTGCCTGATGCTTAGGGTCATGGAGATCACTAATCCTGTCACCAGCCCTTGGCACAGGGACACCCCCCGTGTGGCCTGCGGGCTGGGGGCCCCATGCTCGGTGGCTGCGAATCACTGTGCTGTGGTTTGGGTCCGGTATCATTTCTGTCTCCCCCACCAGCTGTCGGTTACCACTTCTTGCCACCCATCTCTCCACAGCCCAGCCAGCATTTCCAGCCGACTGTGGACTGAAACCCCAGCCCCCGCCCGCACCGTGTGTGAACCGAGCATCACCAGGACCTAAAGGAAGGCCGGAGAAGCTGTTTCCATGAGAGACGTGGACATCAGCTGGTCTCCTCTGATGCTCAGGGAGGACGGTGCCATCCTTCCAGGTCCCAGCTGCCCCAAAGTCCACGCTGCCCCACCAGCAGCCTGCAGGGAAGAGGACCCTGCCCTGCTGGGACAGGGGGCTGAGGCCACTGGAAGTCTTCCTGGTGGGGGGCTCCCGAAAACCCCACGCCGCCTGCTCAGACAGCTGCAAGACAGAGCCAGTGGGGCTTGACCAAGCCAAAGAAGCTGAGAAGGGTGTTTGGGGTTTTTTTTTTTTTAAGTTATGTGAAATCTTGTGGTTCCCAGCAGGCTCCCCTCAGCTTCCAACTCCCTCACTTAGAAGCCCCGGGCTCTCGCGGGGGCCTTTGGGGAGCAGAGAACCACAGCCCGCGCTGAGCACCCACGTGGACAGTTACCTTGGGAGGCAGAGTTTTCTGAAGTGAAACAGAACCCAGAGGCCCCTCCTGGGGACTTGCTGGGGGGTCAGCTGAGATCCTGAAAACCTTGTTTCCCCAAACTGTGCCTCAGAAAGATAGTCAGTGCCTCTTCATCCCTCAAATAAATGACTTTCAACAACAGGGTATAAAGGCACTTTCTTTTTTTCTTTTTTTCGGAAGCCCTGGCCTGTATCTTGGCAGGCAGGCAACAAAAGGTAGCATTTATTAACAACTGATAGTGGGTTGGAAGCACTTTCTTTACGCTGAATAGTTTGAATTGCTCTGTGCCGCATTTGGGACGTGTGCTTCTAGGAAAAAGGAGAGATGTCTAGAGATCAAATGTTATTTAGTGGTCATGTCAAGGTACAGAATTCTAATATTTTTCTGCTTCCTATTTTGGTTTCCCAAGTTTCTTTTGTTGAGCAGGTATGACTTTTATAGTGAGGTAGATAAACGTTATTTTTAAAATATTTTTCTTTTGTCACTTGAAGTCTTCCTCTGCCCCCTGCGTTCCTCCTCTCTGTGCCAACAAGCCACCCAACACATGACTCCAGGAGGGTGCAGCCGGGTCCCCTCCCCGCAGGATGGTGGGGTCCCTGGGATCCTGACCCCCACCCTGCCACCTCACAGAGAGTGGTATCGGTCTATCCAACTCCTCATTATGACCTTGGCGTCTGCAGCCTGGGAAGTGGGGACGCCTGGACTCACATGGCCTCTCCGGCCCCTCTGCTCCAGCCGGGCTCACGGGGCTCTGAGGGGCAGTGACAAGCCACCTGCGGATGTGACAGAGTGCGGCCTTTGAAAGCAGGCAGACGAGAGTGAGTCAGCTTCCAGCCCTTCCTATTTATTACCTGGGCGACTTTATGCTATCAAACCACTTCGTGTCCCTGAACCTTGCTTCGCTCACCGTCAGAATGAGCATAATGCTCACTGGTAGTGCAATGAGATCTGTGCCGAGCGGGCATCCGGCACGGAAGGGCACTCCGGACAGTAGGTGTGTTATTACTGGGAATGTGCCTAGAGCCCAGGGGCTTCAGGACAGTTCCTCAGCCCCCTGCACTTTCCAGCACAGCCAGAAACCTGCAGAAGACAGAGGTCCAGGAGGGGCAGACGTCCTCACATGGCTACGGCCACCAAAACTGCCTCTGGACCATATATTCTACCTCCCGTACCAGTCCGGGTCCATAACGTCCCTTCTACGGACTCAGAATCACTGCCTGCCAGTCTCCCAGGCTGAGTTCCTTCAACACCCAAATGTGACTCAGAATTCGGGGGAATTTGCACTGGCCACTGTGTCGATAGGAAGACATTTTCAAACTACTTCTCACGTTTGTATTTTCTACCTGTATATTTGATTCCCGCCGGATGCTGAGCAAAGGCGAGGACTCGGGGATGCTGGGGCGTGCGCTGGGCTCTGCGCATGCTCCAGGCCCTCAACGGGAGGCCCGCCTCTGCTGTGGACCGGCGCCTCTCACGGTGTGCGCTCCCAGGACAGCCGAGTCCGCGTCTCCTGGGACCTCATTTGGAAGGCAAAGTCTCAGCCTGCCCAGGCCCATCATCGAACCTGACTGTTACCTCGGGTGGCGGGGCCACGCGTCAGCTTTAACAAGCCCTCCGGGAGGTGCTGGACTTGCTCAACAGGGAGGACTGCGGAGTTAAGCTGAAGGCCAGTCTCCACCCGTGCACGGAGACTGCCCTTCACTTCCTCCATCGGACCGGGGTCGGCAGCAGTTTGAAACCTGTGTCCCACTGTCTGCAGGGGAGTGAGTAGCACAGACCACACTAGGGACAGTCCCATCTACAAACTCACGTCTCGGAAAATACCTCTGGAGCATCCCTTTGCTTGTTACCATGGGCATTTCTTGTAAAAAAAAAAAAAAAAAAAAAAAAGCTTGCCAGAAAATGAGTTTACCCCTCAGAGGTCTATTTTAAACCTGACTCCCCTGCTTTGGAAATGTGTGCTGCCAGAGGTTAATATTTCATGGGGTCCCGGGGCCTCGTTATGAACTAGCTTACAATGTTGGGCCCCAGACGCAGGCTGGGATGTGTGCATATTTGCACAGAAACAGCCCTAGGTTCCTGTGAGTCCTTGTGCTTGCTTTCTAGAATTTTCCATCTGGTCCCACCATCAGAAGTTTTCAGATGTTGATTCCTCAGTGTGGGCTCCCCAAACAGCCCCAGCCTCCCTCCTGACCTGCACCGAGAAGACAGGTAACCCTCTGGTTCGAACAGTGTGCAGACCACGAGTAAACAGGCACGAGGGAGCCCCCTGTGGGTTACCTTCTGAGCCCGCATCCCGCCCCCTCTCCCTCTCCCAGCACGGCCCCCTCCTCGCTGTGCCAGGCTGGGGACGCAGGTCGGCCTCAAGTCACCGTGCAGGCAAGGAAGTCAGGTTACCTGGTCCTGGAGTTTCTGGAACATCAGGGGGTGCGGCTCTTCCAGGATCTTCTCACTGAGCCGGGACTGCCCCTCGACGTTGACCTGGGACGAGGCCTTGCTGGACAGAAAGGTCATGTAAATCTCCTTGGCCTTCTCCTGCATCTGGGGGAGACACACGGAGCCCGTTATTTGCAAGCTCGGCCCTTCCCGGCCCGAGCCCAGCTCTCTGCTCTGGCCTGGCCTGGGTGGGGGGCTGGCTGCCCCTCCAACCCCCTATCACAAAACTGCTACACTATCTATTTGGAAAGAATGACAGAAAGACTCCTGATGCCCAGTGGGCGACATCTGTACCGTTCAGGGCTACGCTGTGACTCCTCCAAACTAGGGACTCGTGGAACACCATTCAGCCATAACAGGGCACGCAGTCCTGAGACGGGCAGAACATGGGTGACCCTGGAAACCGCTATGCTGAGAGAAACCAGACTCTGGAGGCACATGTGGCACAGCTCCATTCAGCTGAGACACCCCGACCCAGCGCAACCACAGAGACAGAAAACAAGGGGTCGCCCAGGGCTGGGGGCAGGGGAGGGGAGCAGCCGCTTCGTGGGTGAGGGGTTTCCATTTGGGGTAACAACGGGAAATCCTGGCACTAGACAGTGGTGGTGGCCGTGTAACACGGTGAACGCACAGAAAGCCCTGAACCACATGCTTCAACACGGTTAAAATGATAAAAGTGGCGGCCCTAAAAAATAGCTAACGTGGTAAAATTTGTTATGTATATTTTTCCACAATAAAAAACAAATCAAGGGAAATAACACACACACTTCCAGCCCGTTACCAGGCACCTGCTATACTCCAGCACACGCGAGGTGCCCAACCTCAGGGCCCCATTTCCTTAACCCTGGGGGCACCTAGCCAAGTGCCACTGCCCTGTGGGCACCACTTCCCTGCAGGGAGACTCCACTCAGGACTATGTGGCCCCAAAGCCTGGCATTTCTGCCCAGGTCCCTGCCTGCGAGATACACTGCCCACTTCAGGTTGTGCGGTCTGCCAGCCTCCCAGGGCAGGGTTTTTTTTTTTCCTAGTGATGGGATGTGAGCATGAACAAGGGAGAGGGCACTCGCTGGCCGCCCTGAGTCCCAAGGGCAGGCCCGAGGAGCCCCAGCCCTTGAAAGGCTTGTCAGCATCGTAGAAAAGGTGCGCACTTCCAACACTCTGAACAGCCCCTCAGCTGGTGCAGAACTTGCTCTGGCTCTCGTAAGTCTCCGTAAGTGCTCTGAAAACCAGCGGCCTCCTGCCCGGCCCTCCCTGGCGTTGTCCCCTGAGGCTCGTATTTTCACTCAGAGAAAGGAAAGTGACTGTACTCACACCTCCCAGCAGCAAACCTGGGGCTGTATCTTTAAACATTAAAGCCTAAAGCATGACCTCACCCTACGGGGCCAGCCAGGCCATAAATGCCTCTGAAACACATCCCTGGAGCTGTGATTTGTGGGTTGGGTGAGGGGTCTTGGGAGGCCTGAAAAACTGCCCGTTCTCCCTCAAGAGCCCACCTCCCCTCCCCTCCACTCCTGCCCCCCTCCCCCAAGCTGCAGAGCTTGGCTTAGGTTTCCCAGGCTACGAAATCCTTTGGCCCTTATGGAAAATACCAGAGGCCTTTACCACCTGGTGCTTGAAAAGAGAAGAAAAGCAGTCCTTTAACTTATTTAGGTTCCAAGGACCCCCCGAGAAAAGGCCCCATGAGGCCGAGGCCCGACCACCTCCTGTCCTCCAGAAAGACGGCTCCCGGGGGAAGCCAACACCCGGGCCCAGGTGCCCACTGCTCATCCACTCTCACAGTGAGCAGTTCATCAACACCAGGCCCCAGAACACAAGGAGCATCTTCAGCCAATGTGGCTCTTCCAAGGGACCCATTTGGGGACTGTCCTCCAGACCCAGGTGGGACAGTACTTTGTGGCCTTGCCTCTCAAAGACCCACCCCCTCCAGGAAGCCACAAGCCTCCCTCCCACCACCTCCTTTCTGCCAGGAGGGACCATTTTTGGAAAATTCCTGCCTGCTCTCAGACTTCATAAAAATATCAGCCAGTCAGATGAACAAACCCCACTCAAAGCTCTGGGGGCAGAAATCACGTCAGGCCTCCCCTCCCCCTGGAACAATCTCTCTCTCTCTCTCTGCCACACACACACACACACACACACACACACACCACAGAGTTTCCAGGTGAACCCAGGCTGTCTTGGGTAGCTCTGAAAAGAAGGGTAATAAATCAGTAGCTTGAGGTGTAAGGGCAGGAGGGAGGAGGGGCCCAGAGGAGAGGAGGCGGGTTCTGGGGGCCTGTGGGTATGTAAATCTCCAGGCCTCTCAGATGAGAGCCGTCCCCCAGCTGCGGGTCTCCTCTGGAAACAGTGAGGCGCCCCCAGGTCCGACTGAACGGGCTGCAGCAGCAGAGCTTATCGGGGCCAGGATAGGAAGCGTGACTGGAAAGGGAAACCCTGAGACCGCGACCACAAGCTGGTCATGGGGAGGCCTGGTGCCCATGGCGAAAATACTTAACAGAAAAGAAGAACCTGGTGTCTTCAGCTATTCTGGTGGATTTTCCAGAGCTCTGTTAACCCTGCTCTGGCTCCTGCCAGGACAGGAGCAGGTCCGTGCCTCGGGCTGTGACCCGGAGGACGCTCCCTGCGGAGGGCAGATGTGCCCAACCTGCCAGCCCCAGAAGGTGCTGGAAAAGGACCCCGCCTGGGCCCAGGGGAGGACCCCTGGCATCAGCTCGAGGACGGCCTGGGATGACACCCAGAGGAGCTCTTCCCAGACACCCGAGTCTGGGCCTCCCTCCCAGCCTGGCACCAGCTGCGCCAGCGCCCAGGCTCCACTCCCGCAGGCACAGGGACGGGGTGGCAGGTCCCCTCTCCTGGCAGCCTCAGAACCAGGCACCAGCTCCAAGGAGCAGCCAGAGCACCGGTCCCTGAAGCTCAGAAGGGCGCTGTCTCTTCACCCTCGCCCAGCAAGCAAGCTTCAACTTTTCCCACCGGGAAAATAACACAACACCCCCTTTACTCACACCCTCCTATAGCTGATGACCTCCCCACCCGACTTCTTACTGAAACACCACAAAATGTGAGTGTGCACTGAGCCCCTGTTTTCTCCCTGCCCCCACCTGCTCCTCGCCTGCTCCGTGGGGCTTCTGCCCACTGCCGGCTCAGCCCTTCCTCCGCACGGCTCCCCAGGCCCTGGCCCTGCTCAGCACTCTCAGGGATCTCCAGCACCTCCCTGTCTCCCTGGTCAGCTCCCCTGTCTCCGTCCCCCCCATAACTTTTGGGGTTTCCCAGAGGTATGCCATAGGCTGACTGCTTTCCTAATCATACGCTCTCTCGAGATTTCAGTCCAACCCTCCCCCGCAAGCTGCTGACCACTCGGGCAGCTGATTTCTAGACCGCCCCCCCCACAGCCGCAGAAACCAAGGAAAGGAGTGGGCCCCTCCTGGCCAGTGGGTCCTGCCGTCTCTACGCCAGGAAGCTGGGGACTGAGATCCCCCGACACCTCCCTCACCCCATCACCTGGCCTGTCACCAGCCTCTGGTCACGCTGCTTCCTGTGCCCATCTCCATCAGCTGCTCCTCTCCAGCCCGTCACTCTGCCAGAAGTGGACAATGGGGAAGGACGCATACGACATGGGAGCAAGCCACTGCCTTTATTAATGTCAGCCTCAGACAGAGAATGAGGCAAAGAAGATGTCAAGGAAATGATTTGAGAATATTGCCGAGAACTGGCTCAGGAAATGCAAAGCAGGTGGAGGGACAGTGAATGACGCCTTGGAGAGCCTGAGCAACCCTAGGCACCTGCAAGGTGGGGGTGGGGGACAACGAGAAATGTTCAAAAATGGCAGGAACATGGGCATCGGGCAATTCCACTGGAAGGTGGGTGTCACAGAAAGAAGCCATTAGACCCGCAGGTCTCTGACCCCCCCCAACCCTGAACATTCAGGTGATCACCTCCCTCCCCCTCTCTTCTCTCCTTCCTCCTGGCCCCCAAGTTTTCTTCTCTAATGAAATGGACTCAGGGGGGCTGCAGAACAGAAGCAGGAAGGAGGTCAAGGAAGAGATGCCAAACTGAACACAGGGTGAAGTGAAATTCTGCATACGAATTCCCCAGCACATTTTTCTGTCTAGTTGGTCAGAGATGTGTCTACAAACACAATTAGGCTTGTGGCCACCAGCAAGAGACTGGAGGGTCTAGAGAAAACAAACGATCACCAAAAAAAGCCTAAAACTTTCAACAGAAGACTTTAAAGATAAAGCTGAAATCTCCAAAGAAAAGTAGGACCTAAAAGCCAAAGAGATGAAAAAATGATAAAAACAATAACGTAAGAACACTTTCCAGAACCATGCCTTTCCAGATTAAATGGCTCCATAAAATGCCATCCACACTGTGGATGAACCCCAACCCCTCCAAAGCCTCTGACTGTGCAGGTTTAGAACACTGATGATGAAAAGAAGATTCTGTGCTCTTCCAGAGAGAAGACAGCAAAGAAAACAAATTGGCTTCCACGTAAAATACAGGGAGGACAGTGGAAGACGTCCTTAAATTTCTGAGTGAGTTTCAACCTAGAATGCATTCAGTTCTATGCTCTGTCAGATTATCAATGAAGGAGGAGAGTAGGGGGAAAATTACATTTTTCATTCAACAAGATCTTTAAGTGTCTACCTGCCATGTCCTCTTTCTCAAGAGGCTATTGCTGGCCGTGCTCCACTGCAATGAGTGAGTGACTCCGACAGGAGGACCTGGGTCCAGGGAGTAGGAGGGGGGCAAGGGAACGGCCGGCGGTGGTAAAGGCAGACCTAGGGAGCTGCGGCCAGAGGGCCCAGGAGGACTGTCCCGGGTGAACCGCTCTGCAGAGAGGCATGAACCCGTGCAATGTGGTATCAAGCGAGATGCATGGGACAGGGAGCAAAGCAAAACATAGTCCAGGAAGAGAAATGCAACTGCAGCATCCTCTTTGGCTCAGCTGCAAACAACAAACAATAAATATTTTCATAATGAAAATGCAGTGCACAGGGAGGTAAGTGACACCTCGGTTATAGTAAGAGGAAGTCGGCAGATAACATCTAAACACGCAAAGTGAGCAGGGAAGGAACGAGGCACCGGGCGGGCCTGGGACCACACGGAGAACGGCTGAGCTCCGACTGGGCTTGGCCTGGACCCGGCCAAGTCCATGTCGAGGGGCGAAGGTTGGGAAGACAGGGCCCAGACCAGACAGAAAGTGAGCCGAGGGGTGAAGGAAACAGCCCTTTCTCCTGCATCCACTGTTGAATAAATGAATTTCCCCTAAGGAGTACATATGTCACTTTGGGATTTTTAAATACTTTTATTTTTTAAGTGAAGAGGATGGTGTCTCAGCCTTTTAGGAAAATCTTTACTATTACTTTAAATAAGCATATCAATCACTCTAAAATGTTTCAGTGTTAAAACAATAAAAAGAATAAATATGATAAACTCCCCCCATAACTTGGTTACCTCTAAAATGCATCATCACACTTAAATACCAGCACGAGGCGCTCTCAGAGCTACGATTAGAAACCCAGCAGCACCCCACCCGACTCTCAGCTTGGTTCGCACAAAGCTGTACAGGTTGCCATATCCATTTCAGTCCTTGTCACATCGTAAACTGGCCCAAGGGGCAGGTGCCCAGGGAGGAAGGGAGGAAGGAAAGGAGGGAGGAAGGAAGGAAGAAAGGAAGGAAAGAAGGAAGGAAGGAAGGGAGGGAGGGAGGGAGGGAGGGAGGGAGGGAGGGAGGGAGGGAGGGAGGGAGGGAGGGAGGAATTCAGAGGTAGCCAAAGAAGGAACACCTTGGTGGAGTTTTTGCTGAGGTTTTATAAAACATCAACGCTGCCTTGTTTTAGAAGACAGATATCACACATGCTAACTCATGGGGAAAAGGCACTTCATAGAAAAACGTTAAACCATAAAGAAAGTGCAAACAGAGAGAACTGCTTTGAATGCTGATTGCTGAACATGAACGCCTGGAAAGTGCTACTACCCCAGGAACCCCAAGGAGGGAGGGGGCAAGGGGAGGGCACCCTCCCAAGTTCCTGGAGCCCCACCACCCCCACCACAAATGCGGAGTATTGAGACCCTTCGGAACGTGGGGCTGCTTTCCTGCCTGCCAGGAGCCAAGTCAGCCCAGGGAGGACATTGCACCAGCAGGATGGACTCATGTTCACCTCTCAAGTCCAAGGCTGCAACGGCAGCACCAAGTGAGAGACAGGGAGACTAGGCCCCCACCCACAGGGGATCCTCAGGTGTCAGCTGATCTGAGTGGAAAGGACTGGAAGCCCTGTGTGCCTGGCACTGACCCAGGCACTTGGATACACTGGGGGAGAAAAGGACCGCAAACCTCTGGAGACTGCCTGTCAGAGGGAAAAGCCAGCAATGCAGAAAATAAAGAAATTATACAAGAGTCCAGCTAAGTCAGTCAGTGCTCAAGGGGCGATCTGGCTGGATAAACCCTGTAAAAGAATGGGAAACGAACCAGCACAGGCCCTACTTAAAGTAATGGAAGCAAAAACGAGGTGTGCATGGATCCCTCATCTGCCTTAGGTCACTGTACAGACAAACCCTCAACAGACTCCAGACGTGGCAAGTCTGATTGCGAAATTCCACTGGGCTGACTTCTCCCTGTGCAGCTTTCCTCCTCCGCTTCTCCAAGTGAGTGGTTTTGAACTTGCTCCTGGTTTTACTTCCCCTGCAGCAGACCCACTACGGAACTCGAAGGCCCTAGAGTCGGAGACCCGTCTGTGCACTGGCTCCGTCTGCGCACAGCTGGCGGCTTGGGCCAGTTGCTACTGCATCTGTCCCACCACAGCCCCTGGGAGGACGGGCGGAGCCACAAGGCTCCGTGTGGTCACCCAGACAGGCCTGGACACCGCAGGCTCAAGGCTGCCCCCTCCCTTCCAGCACCGTCTGCTTGCTCAGGCACTGGAGCATGCACTGCATTGAAGCCATCACGGGGCACATACCAGGCTTAGGGACACAAACCTCCCAGGAGCCATAGTCTGGGTGTCAGGGTGCAGGGTGCAGAGGGGGGCTGCCAGAATCCGGAAGCTCTGTCTATAGGATGTGGGTGGGCTGATGCAACCTACCACATAGCTTTCCAGTAATCTGCAGGTGCGGCCGCACCTGCCCGCCAGCCGCCAGCACAACACAGCGTGGCCCTGCAGACATCTGGTCTTCCATCAGCTCTCTGTCCAGAAATTTCTCCCCATCTGCTGTCCCCTCTTCCAGTGACACGACCCCACCCCCAAACTCCACTTCAGGTGTCATCCGCTGAAAAGTCACTTCCCCTCGGGGGCTTTCCAGACCGCCCCTGCCTGGGTTCCCACAGAACCTGCACTTCCCATTTCTAGGCTCGTCACACTCACGAGCGGCTTCCCCTCCTGGTGCCTGTTCCCCAAAGTAGCTCATCTGTCCTGTCCCTGTGTGTCTCCCATGCTTTTTGGAAGGCCTGGCCCTGAGCAGAGACTCCACCGAGATCTGGCGAACTCAGCTGACCCAAAAGACCCACTAGCACGGTCTGCAGGGAAAATGGCTGGGTGACCTCGGACTGCAGGTCCAGGCCCCAGGTTGGCCCAGGAGGGGCCTCAGCTTCCCGGTTTGTCCAGTGAGGAGGGGGCTGGCCACCCTGCAGGCTCCTTCCACCTCCAGCACGCAAAGAATAAGGCAGAGGAATGGACATCAGATCTACTGCTTGACTCTGAACTAGGGTTTCGGGTGAGGCTGGATGAATCAACGGCACAGTCCAGCATTTATGGGAGGTTGTCCCTGAGCTCTGTCCTGGGTGCCAACATCCTGGCCTTCCAAAGCCGACCCTTTCTCCTGCTCTCTGAGGCCACGCCCCCCCCCCCCCCCCCAGGAGGCTCAGGCAAAGTCATGGGGGAATCAAAGCCGTGGTGGACAAAAAGAAATGCCTTGGACCATGCTCTAGGCCGACCTAGGAAAGGCAACCTACAGGGCACCTATCTCAGAATCCATCCTTGCCCCTACGGAGAGGAAGACCTCCCCTCCCCACCCCCCGGCTCCACCTCGGAGAGAGTGTGTTTGGGTTTACTAGAGCCTCTGAAGAAACCAATGATGAACATTTTCCAAGCCGTGGTCTGCAGACACGTAGAGACAGGTGCTCAGTAACTGGTAGCCCACATCTGCCTGGGGGTGTGTCCTGTCTGGCCAGCAAGGCTTAACTTCTTCCTTTAAAAATTAGTTTGAACCCTTATAAAATCAGATGGGTTCCCACAAGAATCCAAACGTCCAGCTTCTCTGGATTAGATGTGTCAGGAGGAAAGTCCCCTCAGGGTTCTGGGCCCAGGGGTGGGCAGGTGAAGACCAAGGTGGTCAGAACTCAAAGCAGAGAAAGCCCAGATCGCCACAGACCCCACAGCGTTCACTGCCAAAGTCAGCTCAACAACCAGCTGCAACCGCTGCAGGCAGGGCAGCTGCCCCCTGACAACCCCAGTCTCCACCACTCCCAACAGCCTCACACCAACAGCCTCGCTCACTCACCAGGCCCTTTTTGGCATTTTGCTGGTAGCTTCTTGGAAGTACACAGGCACCGACCTGGTAAACCCTCCCAGTCCCCAGGCCTCCTTCCCCATAATCTCTTCCATCCCACCTTTTACCCAACCTTCTTCAGCGGCAGAAAATGTGGGCTGACACTGGAAGTGAAGGCTACCCCGCCGCAAAGAGCACACATCTACCCAGGAGGATAGTAAGAAACGTTTTACGTGGGATGCCTGCCAACTCCGGGATGTTTCGTAAAGATACACTGAATAATTGACAATCCATCTGAGGCCCCCTGCTTTTATCGCCACATCTGCTTATCATTTCACTACCTCCGTACAAAATGCCTACATGCCCCACTCCCTGGGCCCACGCTCATAACCTATTCACGCAATAATAAATCGTGGATGACGACGAACTCTAAATAACGTACATTGATTGTTCTTTTGGCTTTAAGTGTTTGTCCATTTGCATAGCTCCATTTAAACTTGGATCAGTACCCTCTGTTTAAAATTATGAATGTTTGAGCAACATAGGGTACCTAACCCAAAGCTTAAATCTTCCCCCAAGTCCAAATGGATCAGATTTCTCGAGGCCATTTCAAAATAGATGGGAATGGCAGCTGTAAGTGTGTAAGAAGAGAAAAATAAATTACGAAGAACATAATTATAAAGTGGAAGAAATACCTGTTTCTTATCTTGCATTTTCTTAAAATCTTCACACGCTAACCAAAATAAAACATTTTCTTCACTGAATTCCTTTTTTAAAAATTCCTATAAGTACAGAGAAGAAAAATGTAAAACAGCATTCTACTTTAAAAAACAAACAAATAAATAAGGCATTCCCCTTCAAGGATTTGAATTTGGCAAAATCCCAAAATATGAGCAGGAAAACTCTACCCTGAAAAACCAAGTTCATATTTCATGTTAAAGCCAGAAAGCCACGTGCATCTGAACTTAATGGCTTTGACATTGCAAGGAAGAGTAAAAATGAAGCAAGTGTCCCCTCACAACTCTAAGCTGACAATAAATTACCAAAAAGTAAATTGAAGTGGAAGAAATATTAGTTCCTTCCAGTCAGTGTTTAAACAAAGTACATTCCTCTAAAAGCAGGCCCATTTTTTTTTAAACAAAACCAAAAAAAACATAGTCAGCATGTCCAAAACCATCCCAATGAGAACTATTTTAAGTCGGAGGTGTATATTTTTCTCTTTTGGCGGATGTTGGGGGTAGTGGCACAGAGACGCGTCCTCCAGGAGACCTAGACAGAGCTCACAGCTCTGGCCTGGTGTCCAGGAATGGCAATACTCCGCCTGCCACCCCCTCCCTGGGCACCGAAGGACCCGCAGCCCGAGGGCTTGTCCTGGCCTGACCCCGGACTTAAGGACAGACTCCGGTGGAACTCGAGCAGACTCGGGGCATGCTTCAAACTCGCACGAGCTGCCTCTAACCGACACCTGGGACTGCTGCTGGCCAACAAAGTTATTTCTCGGCAGCACCACCGCTTCCCCATCCATCAGCCTGCTCTTGAAGTTCAACTTCACTTTGCCAGTTGTTGTCTAGCCTGTCTCACTAGGTTAATAATCCCAACACCCAAAAGAACAAAATATGCAAAAGACCCAGACGGCCCCTCCTGGGTATCCCAGAGCTGGACATTCTTTGTAGATCCAGTCAATAAACATGGTGTCTCTTCCCCAGTGCCCGCGCCACCCCGAACCCAGCTACATGACACCCAGAAACAGTCTGCACACTGCCCTGGGTGCTGGGCCCTGGCCACGGGAGAAAGCCTTTCCACCTTGGCATTGACAGGGGAGACGTTCTTGTTCTCGAGTTGGGACAGTGCTAACAACTGGCCTGTGCTTCCCCCACACGCATCGGAACTTCACGTGTCGCCTCAATCCCGTCAACAATGAAAAAGGCGAACCCGAAATCTTTTCACGCCTTCTGGATCTTCGAGCAGATTCTCCAGCGAGGCCGCCCATTTGGCTGTGCTCTTGGGGTGCTGGTGGCCGCTGCTGGAGCTCCCGTCACTGTCGTGGATGTCTGCAAAGCAAAGTTAGACTGTGGGGGTGGCCCAGAGACATACCTGCATGCGATGGTCGTCGTCATCGTCACCACTACTGTGGCTGACTGGTGTTAAGTGAGGCGCCCGAATCTGTCTTAGGTGCTAAACCCAGCGAACTCATGCTCGCCCTGACAGCACACAACCTTATGAAGCGGGTGCTCCCATCTCCCCCATTTTGCAGATGAGGAAAACTGAGGCTCGGAGCGATGAAAGGACGTGTCATTTCCCGACACTCCCCTTACATCCTTTCCGCACCCCTGTGTCCACTGGCCAAGTGCGGGCGGGCAACCCTCAAGTCTGACTCCAGCCCTCCTCCCAGGCTCCTTGGCTGAACAGAGACCCCTTCCCCACTGCACTTCCTGCACCACCGTATAACTATCACACTAAGTCATGACTATTTGCACGGCCGACGCTCACTCGCCTGAAAGCTCCTGTCCACCCCACCCTGTATCTCCAGCATGTAGTTCCTCGCCTGGCACACTCATAAAAGCGGGTGCCAGGGCCGGCACAAGGGTGGGGCAAGGGAGGCACTGACCGCAGGCACAAAACGTGAGGGGGTGGCCAAAACACTCAGGCCTCAAGAAAAATGATATGTTCATGCAATATTTTGAAAAATAGAAACTAATGCAAAACATTCCATTATGAGCAAAAGACCAAGATGTTAAATAAAGACAGGATTATTATTACTGCCGGTTGTTCCTCTTGCCCCAGGCTCCAGCCTGGCTGGGAGCCACACCGTCAGCTACCGGTGCAGCCTGAACGAGTGAATGGCCCCTGTTCCTGCCCCTGTGCTACACTCTCTCAAGGCAGACACCTGCAAAGCCTCTTGACTAAAGCAGAGGGGACAGGGGAGCCAGCCTGGAGGAAAGTGACAACACGAACAGGTCTCCTTCTGTGCAAAATGTGGTCCCTTCCTAAAGTCAAAGGAAAATCAGGAGACGTCACTGGGGATGGGCCCACCTTCCACACCCAGTTTGGCCAGTTCAAACTGTGTGACCGCGGGCAACGTTCGGCAAGTAAAATAAAGACGACCCCCCTGGGTCTCAGGTTGTCCAGAAAACATGGGTTCTTCTCTCCCCTTCCCTACCATGGTGGCCCATCCCGTGAACTACCTTCATCACTAATACTTTTTCACCATTGCCTTTTTTTTCAAAGTAGAGACACATTTCTATTTTTTTTTAAAAAGAAAGGTTTGAATGTAGAAGGAAATAAAATTTTAATTAATAAATCAGCTAAATCAGGGGTGGGGGGTACGTTTTGTAAAGCCTATGATTGTCTAACCACTATGCTGTACACTTGAAACTAATACAGAATAATACTGAATGTCAACTGTAATTTAAAAATAAAAAATAATAAAAGACATCAGCCAAGCAAATCATCTTAAAAGAATAAGTGAAAAAGTCTTATAAACATTAACTGCTGCAAATAACTAAGGGCCATGGGGTTTTACCTGTTCTGGGAGGAGAGTTGTACCAGAATATGTTGGACTTAATAGTAACTCAGCTCCCGGGACCTCTCGTGTTCTGTTGTTGTGTTGGGAGGTCAACACGTTTCTCAAGCAGCTGGGACTCCTTCTCCCAGCACCTGGGAACACGACCTGGATCTTCGTCATTCTCAGGCTGACCCGGGCTGAAAGGCTGGTGCAACAGGCACTGGCGATGGAGCATGCGAGGGAATGATCTGGAACAGCTCCCTCCCTCCAACCGAGGGGCAAACCCACTCGAACACCTCACAGATGGGTCTGACGCTTCTCTAAAGTGAACCTTCGGTCTGTGGATATTAACTTAGTCTTCCGCGCTCTCTGCGAGTGCTAGCTAGAATGGCATGCCCCTGCACCCGGAGTTTCTTCCCAGCGAAGTGTACATCGAATGAGGAGATCGTGATTACGAGACATTTCTGCTGCAGGGTCCGTTCTGCCAAGCATTTCACTCATTTACCCCAAGGACACAGTTTGACAGTTGACCCATTTCCCCAGCAGATCCTCCCTTAAGTAAATAAATGTGGAGACACAAGTTCGCTGTCCGAGAACAATCTTAGGCAGCTGCACGTCTCTCTTGCTGTGGCAGAACCTGAGTCCTCGGTTTTCAACCTTGGCCTCCACGGGTTCCAAAGCTCTTGACATTCTTGTCAGTGATAAAACAAACCACATCGGGGTTTTCACTGACTCGCTATCATGCGAATAAATACACTCGGTGGATTACCGTTCAGCCAGAGTGTTTAACCAGACCTCCTAGTTAAAAAAAAGGTAAGATCACTGTCCCCAGACTTGACAACTGTCACCTCCCTCCACCCTCTATTTCAAACTCTAATCCTTCGGCGTGTTAGGTCTCCACGCCAGCTCTCATTTACACAAAAAGTTTTAAAGTTCGAAATCCACTAAGCTAACCTAGTTGCTTTATTTTAAATAGCCTGAGAAATAAAAGTTCAGAGGGTAAACAGCTTATTTGAGGGGAGCCAGCTAAGGAACAGGTGGGTGGAACCTCACTGTCTTTCAGTTTTGATTAAGGCTTTTGCTTATGTTTCCCCCCCATCATCCTTCTTGATTGGTATTAAGATAAGAGATGGATAGATCTGGATAGATTGCCATTTACAAACTCCATTCACTCAACGGTGTCTCTCTTTCTCAAGCCCTTATCCCCACCTCCAAAGAGACGGAGCAGAGGCCCACTCCATCTGGCACTGCCCTGGAGATTGCTCCTTCACTTGGGGCATTTCCTCTCTCAGAGTCTGTCCCCTGCTTAGCAGAAAGCCGCTATTTTCCGATGTACTGGGTTGGCCAAAAAGTTCATTTGTTTTTTTTCTATAAGATGGTTCTAGTAGCACTTAGCTGTCTTTGATTTCACTCAAAAGGTCTTTGTTAGATTGTATGTGACAGCTGTCATATCAGCGTGCATTTAAAAAAAAACATCAAAATTGGTGAATTTTTGTGTAGCCATTTTAATATTGAACATGGAAGATAATATGCAACATTTTCAGCATACTATGCTTTATTATTTGAAGAAAGGTAAAAATGCAATTGAAATGCAAAAAATATAAATATATTTGTGCAGTGCATGGAGACGGTGCTGTGACTGGTAGAATGTGTCAGAAGTGGTTTGTGAAGTTTCACGCTGGAGATTCCTCACTGGGTGATGCCCCACAGTCGGGTGGACCAGTGGGAGTTGACAGTGATCAAATTGAGACATTGATCCAGAACAGTCAACGTTATACCACATGGGAGGTAGACAACATACTCAAAATATCCAAGTCAATAAAGTTATTGGTGAAAATAAAAACAGGCTTTCCATTTTACGGAAAGAATCATATGCGCTTTTTGGCCAACCCAATATGTAAATGAAGGGCTTCCCTAAGCCACCTCAGTTCACTTTAAATGTTCTAATCAGTTCTAATCAGATAATGTGCAGGAGAAAGAAATAATCTTCCTCCATAGCAAAGCAGGTTTACCATCTGGACTTCAGATTAGAGCAAAACCCAGCTTCCCAACCCCTGGCACTTGGGTGGTCTTTTTTCCTTTTTTCGTTGATAAAGTTTTCACTTTAGATGGATTACACAAGAAGGTAGGTTTGGAATGCACAGGTAGCAGAAAGTTACGTATGTTTATAAGTGCGGCTTTGAGAACTTCAAGCTAGTAAGGAGCTGTTGGTGATGACATTTGTTTCCATTTGGTCCAGCTGTTTACTTTTTGTGTTGTTTAGTGTAATTGTAAAACATTTTTGTAATGAAAAAAATGGTTTTGTACCTCATGGGCTCTTGAAAACACTGTAGATCTTCAGATTTCTGCAGGCACAATAGTTATTTTGCAATAAATTTACTTCAGATTCATCTGCCATTAGCTAATAATAAACACGAATTGTTTACAATGTTCTGAGCACTGTTCAGAGCTACCCCATTCAGTTCTCACGATGACCCCCTGATATGGTTCATAGTATTCCCACTTCACAGATAAGAAAACTGAGGCACAGGGAGCTGCGAGGTCGCCCAGCTAGGAAATGGGAACCATGGTCAGGCGCAGACAGTCCTGCTGCAGAGTGCATGCCCTTTACCCCAAGACCCTACTGTCTTTTTTGTTGTTGTTGTCCGCTGAACTTCACACGCACAGAGGCCAGAACATGACGGCCTTGAAGAGACACTCACACTGTGGGAGAAGACTGGGAAAAACTGGGTGAAAGTCCAATTCCATGCAAAAACTCCTCTAAGACTGTGCCAGAATCATCTAGCACGCAAACGCGTGTGCATATCGTTTCCGTTTACATCCGTGCTGCTCTGTGTGGTTTCTGGCGTCAGCAAAAGCCGTTCTTTCAAAGACCGTGCAACATCCAGTGGCAGACGGCTGTGGCTGGCTGTTCGCAGCACATTGCATCATGCATTATTAATAGAGGCTATGATGTCATATCTACCAGAGACCTTCTCCACACATTAATTCCTTGGCCATGCATACTCAAAAGGCACCTGTAATTGACCGCTTACAACATACACTCTTGCTATTCATCTGCAGCAAGGTCTGGGCAGTACTCCTGGTTGACAGTCTCCCCAAGTTAAATAATATGGAAGCAAAATCTCAATATCCAGCTTCCTCAACAGCACAGTCCACTTCCACCCTCAAAGGGTCTGTCCCAAGTCCCCCTCACACGGACAGTCTATTAAAGAAAATAAACATTCAAGCCCAGCAAAAGGCAGAAGTGTTAACCCTAACTACTTAAGTGGGTTGGTACGTCCAGGCACATCAGGCAAGCCATACACACCGTACCGCTGGAAAACATTCAGGCAAAGTGCACACCCCACAACACTGATTTAAAACCTCAGACCACCTGTACAGACCACGTCACACTTACTACATGGAAAGAAAAAGTCACCCGAACTTAGAAGCTGCAAATCTGTTTGTTTGAACCGGCAATCTCTGTAAGGCTCCCGAGAAACTGGGTCGTGGAAACACTATCTTCTATCTAAACATCACTTAAGTGTTTGTCGGCTCCAGTAC